CCCCTCACCAGGTCAAGGGGGCCCCCCACATGAACCATGTACGCCACAGGGGCTGGACGCCATCATCGAATTGCGGGCACGATAGGGCGAGATTTCGAAAATTGGGCGCAATTCACAAGGAGGCAAGCGCAAGCGGCCGGCGGCAGCGCAGGAAGGGGGGAAAGGCGCGCCACGGTGTGCGCGACGAAGGTGTTGTGGGGGCAGCTGGGACTGGGGAGGCTGGTGCTGCTGTGGCGAGCAGGTCGAGTTCAGCCCTGCCGCCAGCTCACCGATGGTGGTGTAAACAAGGAATCGGTTGTCTGGGCTCAGGCACGTGTCTGGGGGTGGTTGTGAGGGCGGGTGGAATGTGAGGGTACAGGAGGGCGCTCTAGGCCGACAAATGACAGGGGGCGCGCAATCAGACGTGGTTGGCACTTTTCAACGCCTTCCCACCGCAAGGTCAGGACAGACGACAAAAAATGTGCTCTCGCACATCGGACACGCGCTTTTCGACAAACCATACAGGTATACAATCTTACAACACGAACCCCACACACACATGTCTGCACACCAACACACACCACACACACACGCGCGCGCGCATGCACGCGCTCATCCACACATGTACACCCACACACGCACATGCGGGCGCACACGAACACTCGGACATAAACACTCATACACACAACCCACGTAGACGCCCACACAGTCACGCATGGGCCACAAATAAACCCACCTGTAATCGTCCAGCGAGTCATCCTGGTGGTGACGTCCTTCCTCAACCGCCACCCGCCGACATTGTGCGCCGCAGCACCCCGCCGCGGCGGCGGCGGCGGCGGCGCCGCCCTGCCCGCCGCCCCTGCCTCCGCCCTACCTGCTTGCGCCCCGCCGTAGCCGCGCGCCCGCGGACCCCAGAAAGCGTCGCCGCCGCCGCCGTCGCCGGCGCCGGCGCCGCTGCTGCTGCCGCCGCGCCCCGTCCGCCCGGGGCGCGCGTCGAGCCCGCTGTCGCTGCTGCTGGTCGCCGCGGCGCTGGTGCCGCGGGGCGCGGTGTCGTACAGCCGGACACGCTTGTCCTGCGGCGGGCACCCAGGGGATTACGTAATAAGGGGGTACTCGTTGGTGCGAAGATTGAGAAGCGGCAGATGATTTGCAGCAGCTTTCACTGAGATCCCCCTCGCTCCGCGTGTGTTGCAGCTCGTAGAGTCGCAACAGCACCAGAAAACCAGCGCAGCGCAGCGCCAGGGCGGCGCGCGGCTCGCCTGCTGCCCTTTGTCAGCTCTCCCCTCCAATTAGAAGACCAGCAAACCCACCCACCCCAAAAGCGCAAGCAAGCCCGCTGCGGTCAGCACCCCTGTGCCACACGCTGAGCAGCTGTTGTCGACATGCCCTGGGTTGAGCATGGCCAGCAGCTGCGTCCCGATCCACTGCACTCCGCAGCTGCATCTGGATGGCGTGCACCCCGCAGCTGCACCCCAGGCGCCCTGGTGGGTGTGCGCCCTGCCCCGTGCGCACCTGGAACGCGGCCACAAAGAAGCGGCCGTCTGGGCTGTGCTGCCCAATGTAGGCGCGGCTGTCCATCTTGTCACGCACCTGGGAGGGTGGGGTCGAGGGAGGCGGGGCAGGGGGGTCGTGGGGTG